CCACAGGACTGTTTGTTCTCCTCCTTTCTCTGTTACACACAAGAAGGAGCCCACATGGGGAATCTTAACAGCAGCGAGCCCAGGATCCACTTCAGTAATTCAACTTTTAGCTGTTCTTCATTCTGCAAGCTGTAATAGCTTTTTCATTTGATATTGCTTCATTAAAGGTCATTTTTCTGTGACATTTGCATAACTAGTTCTCTAATTATACTGCTCACCATATGAGAAGCTTTTTCAGGAACAGTTCTTTCTCCCTTGCAAGGAGAAAAAATTTAATTACAGAGTGGAAGCTTTAAATAATGGTTACATAAAAAATACTTCCATGAATCTCTTTCAGTTTAGGCTTTGAATTCTGAAAGGTCAGGCTCTTATAAGGTCTGTAGTTTAAAAAGAGATCATGACTTAATTATAGATCATCATTGCATACTTTAAATTTGTGTTAGTGGACATTGTTCCTTGTCCTTTGTCACAAATGCTGAGTTTTGAAAACAACTAGAGATTGCCAGCCAGAGGAACAGAACCTCCACCCCTCCGGGCTGGGCCCTGAACCCAGACATTTTCAGCAGAGTCAAACTGAAACAAGGTCTGGAAGTGAACACTCTAGAGCTCACTGATGAGAGGTTGACAGTGGCTGCAGTCACCTGTATGGTCACGCTGCTGTTCCCGAGGAGGGAAGCATTTGCATTTGTCTTTAGTGAGATACAAAACTGTGGCTTTAAATTTGCTTCCTCGAAGCTGGTATGAGTCTGTTCAACTTCCCTGGGTGCTGGATGTGTTGGGAATCCCAGGCAGAGAGGAGACAGGTTCATTTTAGCTGGTCAGGACACCAGCTGATGGGGTCCTAAACCCTCCCCTCGCACATCCAGCACACAGGCTGCAGCTCTGGGACTGGGGAAGCCAACATTTGGGTGCCCCTCATTCATATTTTAACTTCCCATTCATAAATGCATTAGAAAACTTTCTAATCTCATCTATTACTTTCTTAGAGCCCAAACTAAATTACAATTGACCCTTCCACCAGCCAAATCCACCCCAGATTTAAGGATTTCCTCTTCATTTCCTCAGGACGCTTGGGCCTTTCAAAAACATTATGTTAGCAAAGGAAATGTCCCAGGTTTTGTCTTGCTGGTCATCCATATGCTGCTAAAAATAACATCTCTTCATCTTTCCAAGGCTCCTGCATAATCTTTAGTCTTTTTCTACTATATGTCTGTCATATTCCTCTAGCCTCTCTAATTTTAATGCACTACACAGTCAATGTTGGAAGGTGGGTTGGATATTAAGTATGTGAAGTCCAGAAATTCAATCAACAAAGAAGATGCAACAAAGTCTTTGTCAGCTGAATCACAGTGTGTTTGGAATACAGTGCTCAGAAAAGAGCTTAATGAACTGTCTGTTAACACAGAGTTACCCAACCAGAAAATTCTCCTGTGTCCATTCAGTGAAGGTCCCCAAAGTTGGATTTGTCCCCCACAAGGTCACACATCGCACTCCAACCTCCAAACCCAGCGGGGAGCTGCACACCACGGGCCTTCTGAGCAGCAGCTGGGGCTGCAAAACACAGCAGAGCAGCTGCAGGCAGGGAGATAAGGCTCCTCAAGGCCAGGCTGAGCACACTGGGAAAGCAGGAGGGCCATGGCAGAGGTGGGCACTGCACTCACAGGGGTGATGCTGACCCCGCTGGTGCTCTCTGCTGTTCCTGCCCAGTGCCAGGGAGCTTTGGGGCTGGGTGGCCTTCAGGAATCCTGCCAGGACGACGTGCCTGGAATCCCTCACAACTAGGAAGGCAACCTGGCCCACAACCTTCCTGCTTTTCCTGCTTCACAGTGATTTCAGTTCCTCCTTGTTTGAACCTCCAAAAGTTTTGTTTTCAACCAATCCACATACCATTTGGAGCACCCAAAGGCATTAGAAGCACAAAAGCTGTTCTGCAAAGGTGATAAAATACGGGCTGAGAGCTCAACATGTGTTTTCTGCTCAGTGTCTCCTAGTTTACTTTTTCCCTTCATATTTGTACATCCTCCAGAAAGGCAGAGTGTGGATTAGTAAAATACCTTGATTGTGCAATGGCATCTCTGAAGAATCATTTAGGCTGTACAGCAAGGCAAAAATAATCGATTTTTCCTTTTCACTTCTTTTTCCTCTACAAAATCACCTAAGCCTTTTTTTTCTTTTCTTATATATTAATTTAAATGTGAATAATTTCCTATCAGCTTTTGCTGATCAACCTGAACAAATCTCTTGAGCACCTTGTTAGACAGTCCCCCATTAGCCTGCAGTCTGACTGGGATCTCACTCCTGTGCTGAGCAGCCAAGGGCAGGAATGGTCTGGGAGTGTCTGACAGAGCCTCCTCCTCCTGCAGATGTGCAGAGCAGCAGCTGGGCTGCTCACAGGCCATTCATCACCAGAGTCAAAAATGCAGATCTCTGAGATCTTTCTAATTAATCTTCAAACCACACTGCTTCACAACTTTAAAAATATTTCCTTTATGTTCTAAAAATTTAGATTTAAAGACCTGAACTACAGTGTCTAAGCTAGAACAACTCTATTAACTTTAGCTTACATCCCACCATTATTCTTATTTTTCTAGATGAGAGTTTTGATTTTGATTTTGAATTAGGCAGCAGTGGATAATCACACTATGCTGAGGTAAGAAACCATTGCTTTTTCCTCAAAGAAATGCTGGGGAAATTGGGAAATCAATTTGGATAGACAGACTGCAGAGAAGGGTACACGGAACCAGAGCCACAGTTCCTCAAAAGGTCTGAGAAAATGCAATGGGAGAGACGAGCAGCTTTTTCTCTTTGACAATGAGTATGTTAACATTGTGCATTATGAGGTTAAATTGATTTTGTTATTGAACAAGTACAGCACTTCGTAAACAATTTATACCAAATCCAAGCATGGCTTTCAAATGCACATTTCCCTGGTTCTGAGCAGTCAGGAACAGCACATCCACAATCAGCTGTGATTACATTCAGATTTCTGCCTCGTACAGTGACATTTGTGTTATTTCTTTTTCTATCAAATCCCTTTTTTGATTCAGTGTTTGATTGCAAGCCCCAGTGTACCCAAGGTACCGATGCCTCCTGCAGTACCCACTGTTCTCTTGTATTTGCAGTGGTTTAATGCAAACCTGGGCTATTGTCCAGCAGCCCACAGACATTCCCCATGGCTGTGCCCGCTGGGAAAAACCCTCCTGGCTGGGCTGGTGACACCACCTGTACCAGGGACACCTGCCAGGCTCAGCGTGGGGCCTGGGAAAAGGTCTCTGGGGTGGCACCGATGCCAGCTGTCCCTCAGAACACCTCCCAGTGAGGCTGGGGTGCTGCCAGGGACTGCAACAGGTTTGTTCAAGGGCAGCAAAAGCAGAGATTCCCTGGACTTCCCTCACCAGCCAAGCCCAAGCTGGCCAAAGCAAGGAACAGTCACCTGCCCACGGCCGAGTGAGGGGGTGGAGCAGCTCTTTGGGATGTGCCCAGAGACAACATCCCCCAGGGAACTGCACAGCACAGGGACCTGCAGCAGCCAGCGGGATCCTCGGCTGCAGCTCGGTGTCACCAGCTGTGCTGCAGGGCCAGCCTGAGGCTCTGGGATGCAGGGACAGCTCTGGGATGCAGGGACAGTTCTGGGATGCAGGGACAGTTCTGGGATTCAGGGACAGCTCTGGGATGCAGGGACAGCCTGAGGCTCTGGGATGCAGGGACAGTTCTGGGATTCAGGGACAGTTCTGGGATGCAGTGACAGCCTGAGGCTCTGGGATGCAGGGCCAGCCTGAGGCTCTGGGATGCAGGGACAGTTCTGGATGCAGGGACAGTTCTGGGATGCAGGGACAGTTCTGGGATGCAGGGACAGTTCTGGATGCAGGGACAGTTCTGGGATGCAGGGCCAGCCCCAGCTCAGCTGCAGTGCAGCACAGAGGGAGCCCGGGGAGCAGCTCAGGTGGGCAGGAGAAGCAGTGAATCCAGCAGGAGCACACGGATGGAGTAGGGAAGAGTTCCCTGATGGTGCTCTTGCTTTGACCAAGGATCAGGAACAGGCTGGTGAAACAGCTATTGTTGTGGAGGTCTAGGGTGCATCAAAAAAGTCACCTCAAAGTCACCTCGGTTTCATGTGTAGATGAAAGAGCTTGTCCACAGGAACACAAGTGAAATTATCAATTTGCTGTACACATTGAAGCACATTTATAAACTGAAATGTCACAGTTAGACACCTCTGTGGCAGAAGGAGAGACAGGGGTGGTTTGTTTGGGTTTTTTTTCTAAAGAGATAAAAAAATAGGACTTCAATAAAAATAAAATCCACTGACTTTCATAAAAGACAAAATAAAGGTCATGGAAAAGGTTTTAGGTCTTCTAGGGAATAAGAAGTTAGTCCCGTTCTCAGAAAGAAAGATAATCAGTGGCAGGCCTGGTCTGTTCAAAATCTTTCTTGCTCAAGAAGTTTTATTTCCCCTTTTTTTCTGCTTACAGTAGGAGCCACTGAAAATTTAGGAAGTATTTCAAATATTTTCCACTTTACTCCAATTCAAAATAGAGGGGTGGAAAATACCCCCCCAAAGAGTTTACAGTGGCTGAGGAGTGACAAACAAGCCACGTGTACTCACAGGAACACAAATTACTTCATCTCCTGTCAAATTTTAATCTCATCTACAACTGTGCTAATCGTAAGTTCACATGAATTTTCAGCTTTCCATGTCCCAAAATTGTGTATGACTTTACACATTCATGAGGAAAGGGCAGGAAACAGGTAAAATATTACCAAAATTCAGGATGACACTGATGGTTTTGTTCTTGTTAACCAGATCAGTTTTAGAAGACTCCAAGCTTATTCCCTTCACTATTGGGGCATTTCTTAGAAGCTTTAAGGAGAGTTTGAAAAAGGTTTTGAAAAGAACATGGCTCTGAGCCCACTAAAGCTATGAAAAATTGTCTATTTTAATTTTGTAGATATGACTCAAGTCCTTAAAAAAAGCACAAAGGTGGAAAAAGGATCTCTACCTTTCCCCTGGACTTCAGGAAAGAATCTTGGATCTGGAACAGATGAAACTGCATTATGCTTCTCTACATATTCTCTTTACTGATTATTTTCTTACCCTAAGAAGAAGTACAATTAATTAGACACTGAGCCATACGATGGAACAAATTTTAATTGACAGAGGAAAACAAAAAAGATTAAAAAACCCCAATTAATTTCTTCATTATTGCTTCAGAATCTGTAATAATTTGCACTCAAGCAAACAGTAATATCTTTCATCTGGAAAACATTCCAGGCTAAGACTTCTGTGGTTTCTTCTTTTGTTTGCAGATATTCAGTGGCTTGTTAAGAACATGATTAGATCATGACACCTTCTAATTCTTTGGACGGTGATTCATCAAACCTCACAGTTGCTACCCAGACACATGGTCTGGCCTCCAGAGTGAGTGACAGAGTAAGAGCTGTTTTCCAGTGGCAGTAGGTTTGCACCTAATGCAAATATTTAACAACCTGTTTCCTTTTTGCTCTGTTAAACAACAACAATCGCTCATTTCACTTCTTTTCAGAAAGGTATTCAGAGCTCTGATGCATCTGTGACCCGCTGAGACCAACCCCCCAGCCGGGAAGCGCAGCGCGGTGTGAGTGCCCTGCTGGGGAGCAGCTCCTGGCTGCGAGAGCACAGGGGGTGAGCGCAGAGCAGCTCCAACAGCAGCTGCCGGCTGTGCTGGGAGCCTGGAGACCGCGAGGATCACACCGCGGGTGCCTCAGCCTCTCACACAAGAACATGGCATCGCTTTTCGTTCAAATTCAACCTTGAAATCTAACAACAACCCCTTCCTAGGAAAGAATTCTCCCAGGCTCCCGGCACCCCCAGCGCGGCTCAGCCTTCACCTCTCTCCCGTCCTCTCTCGGCAGCGTCACGGAGAGCAGCTCTCACCTGCCTGCTGGGCACGGGGCACGGGGACAGCAGCTCCACAGCTGAAAACAAGGCTTAGGGGCTTTGGAAGCTGGCGCTATCGCTTCTCTCAGCATATGCCAAAATATTTAAATCAGGTCTGATGGCTAATTTCATTGTGTGGGACAGGCCAACTTCCACAGGTTCACGAGTTCTCTTTTGCCTCGTGTTCTCCAGGCCAGGGCTGCAGACGAGGACAAGGCTGAGGGTGGAATCCCGCTGGAAATGAGGCTCTGTTCCCTCTGGTAGCGTGCCTGAAAGCTCTACAGCACTGTGACACTCGGCCTGCACCATCAGTAAACCCCAGGAGACAGCAGAGGACACAAGGGAGGTGAAGGCTGAGCTTCTCTACAGCTTTCTGCAACAGGTTAACACATCTTAGTGCCTCTCATGCCCATGAAAACTGCCAATCCTAAACTTTCTTCAGTATGGAGGCCTTGTCTACACAGGGAAACAACTGCAGAATAAGCTAGGGCATAGACTGCAGCACTAGCATCTATTCTGGTCTCATCTCTGATTCATAAAAGCGCACAGAAAGCCCTGGTTGCTACTAAATAGCTTTTTCAACATGCCTTAATGTACCTTTCAGATGTGCACACTGCACGTTCAGAGGGCTTGTTTAAAGCACCAGAGAGTTCCCCCAGTCTGGAGGCAGTGTGAGGGCTAGCACGGTTTGGGGTAAGTTAATAAATAAGGATTGCCACCTTTGCCAAGGCACCAGACACTAACAGGGAGCAGCAAAGCAGTGCTGGTACCAAACTGCACAGTTGTCATAACAACAACCACACGGCACAGCCCGGAGCTGAGGGAGCCACAGGGTCTGAAGAGAGACAGAAATCAACCAAATCAAGGGATTCAGGACCTCGGGGCTGCTTTGGCCACAGCTCCTTGGGATGGGAAGACTTTGATTCTCAGTATCTATCCTAAGCTAAATAGACACAAACATCATATGAAAACATGGCAAAAACTATGGACATGTCTTTTTTGAAGCCAGGATCTTCCCACTGCCAGGCTGTCTGCAGCACCTGGATGGACCAACGCTGCTTGTTTGCTTGTGCATTCACAGCTCAGCCACTCACAGCTCAGCTCTCCCCTGCAAAATACTGGTGCTCTGCTCAGGTGGAAGGACACATGCAAAGAGCAAACACTATCTGTTCTCACCAGGGATTCAGTAAGAGTTTGGACTTGCAAATCTCTAATTTTCCTTTTTTTTTTCTCCAAATGCTCAATCTAGAAACTTATGTCCACTTAAGGAGAGAACTGAAAGACTGATTCACTTTTTTTGCTCTCTGGAAACCTGAATTTTGCAATCAATTTAAAGCAATTCAAAATCCTGTCCTCAATTCCACTGCAAACACATTTTTTGCAAAACCAGCAAAAATGTAACAAATGCAGGTCACAAATTCCACAAGACCACAATAAAATTAGCAGATTTTCGAGAGAAACTGGCGGTAGAAAATACTTTGAAGAAGGCCATGAGTTATCTGTGGAACAAGTTGCTGTCAGTTCCTATTGAGGTTACAAACTCAGTGGAATTCCAAGAAGGAAATCTTGTGGGAGTGAGGCAATACAAAATATTACAAAGTGGATAAAATCTTTGGGGTTTAGAGCTGTAGCACACCACTAATAGCTCATTTATGGCAAATACTTGACTTCTAGGGAGTTGAGTATCCCTGAAACTTGTAAATGCTGACAGCAACCTTGCAGCCACAGGCTGCCCCAAGCCAGGTTAGGTATGCTCACATCGCTCCTACCGGGGGATGTAGCCTGACCTTAGTCACACATTTCCAAGTAAAGAAATAAAAAGTGCTGGGGAGCAGCAGTTCTGATGAGCAGACAGAAATGATCAGCTCCACCTGAGTCCTGCAGCATGCAGATTGAGAAAAACAGCTCACTAATAAAAGGAGAAAACAGCAACAGTCATCTGTTTTCACTCACAGCTTACAAAAAGCACAGATCCTATAAGTGCCCGTTAATGGTGTTATCAGCATATTAACCAAGCTATCCCCTCAGGACTAGTTAGGGTCTGAAAGGGAAAAAATAACTGCAAAGTTTTAGTAATTTCACCAAATAAGAGCTGAATACTGAGGGTTAATGGGAAATCATTTACTAACCACGGCACTCTATTATTCTCAGGGATAGCACTTTCTAAAATTATGGGTCCTTATGGAATAGTATTTTCTGTAATAACCAATCAGCTGCTCTAGAATATATTTTACAGCAGCATCCTCCCAAAGGCATTTGCCAGGGGAAACATTCCAACTGTCTGTATTCCATTTGAAATAATGATAATACCGTCTCCTTGGCAGGGATACAAATGGACATGGGGGTTTTCCTGTGTTCCCTCCGTTTCTTCCACTGGAGCTGACACAAATGTAGATCTTCCACCACCTGAACTGCTGCTGTTATATTATTTATGTTTTGATGAGTACAGCCCCACAGGCCAACAGCAGGAATGGAAAGCATGAGGATCTGGCTATTTGGTGTACACCAGCCAAGTTAGCATCAACTGAACTAAGAGAAAACCACAAACACAGCGAGGAACAGCAGGACTCCAGCAACTTTTTACTGGGTCAAGAAGAAATATTTCCAGAAGTAGCAACACTATCAACATCAGCCAGTGTGTTTTAGTAACACTCTTCCATGTGCTTCACTGTTTGAATTCAATTCCTCGATTCAGACATCAGTTCCATCAGTGACACATCATTGAAATGGCGAGAGAGTTGCCCCATGAAACATAACCCCTGGCTGTGTTTCAGGCTGGCACAGACACTCCTGGTGCTGGGCCACCAGGGCACTCCAACATTTGGGGCTGTGGCTGCTCCCCCACGGGACAGCTGGGTCACAGCCACGGGATCCCACAGGGGCCAGCCCCGCCCGTGCTGGGAACTGGCTGGTGCAGAGCTGGGGCTTCTCCTGGGATACCTGTGCTTGGAGCAGCTTCGTTCAGCTGTAACTACAGACTGTGCTGTAAGGAATTCAACAGCTGAACAGAGAGCAGAGGCACGTGGAGCTGATGAGAGCCCTTCTCACCCTCCCTTGGTGCTGCAGCTTACACAAGAGAAGGCAGGCAGTGAGGAAAGGGCAAGTTTTCACAATTACAGCAGGAGTTCAGAGACTAAATTCTCTTCCCACACATCTTCAGGAGCCCTTTTGCTCCCAATACCAATTTTCTGCACATTCCAAAGAAGTATTTCCTCCTATCAAGTCCCCTTGGGACTCCTACATATAGGAAAAGCACACTAGCCCCGAACTCAACAAACTTCCTGGTATTTCCCCCTCTAACTTGTTTCTGTCCCATTATCTGCTCCACAGAGCTTTTTCCCACCACAGACACCTCTCCCCCTGCAGTGGAAGGAAGGACAGGGACACTCATGTTTACTTGCAGTCTGAAAATGGAGGGTTTGTCACAGCGTAAGAATTCCCAGCACCCAAAATGGATCAGTTGCATTGTTCATTCAAAATAACACTCAGGTGAACTTTCCCTGGCGAGTGAAAATGCCAACCCTGGGCAGCAGAGAGAGCAACGTGCTCAGAATCCTCCCTCAGCACACACACAACACCCGGAGTTGTACTGCTTCAGTAACAAGTGGGAGGGGGAGGAGAAACAGCGGCAGCACAAGTTTCTTATCAGAACAAATCCTCCTGCAACGAGAGAAAAATTAGAGCTTTGCATTCACACCAGTCTGTGGTGGCTTGAGTGTATCCATGGTAACCCCCATCCTTCAGAAATTCCAGTGTGCATCTACAGGCTGATTCTGCTTCTACGTTCCACACGAGCAGAACTGAGAGCACTGGAGTGTCAGCTCCATTAATCTGCTTCTACCTCAGCTCCACGAGTGCATTAGGAAGCAGAAAAGCTCCCTCACATCCACCCTTTAACCCAAATTCTCCAACATGCAGCTGGAATTTCTGGATTACTCTGGTCTTTGACAACAGTATTTATTGTCCTGCACCAGAAGGATGAGCCCTGCAGGATTCTGAACAGTTTGAATGCATTGTTGAGCACCATTTATTAACGTCTGACTGATACATAAACTTTTGACTATATCAAAAAGGATGAAAATGATTTTATTGTATCAATACCATTTTTCAAAATTCTTAGCAAAAATATGGTATAGAGCGTTTTCTCTGGAAATTTGACAGATTTAATAACTTTTGTAA